TTTTACGATTTAAAAATTTTAGAATATTAAAATTCAATAATTTTGACAGACCTCTAATAATTAAATTTTTTTTCAAATTTCCTCTGAGCCCTGAAAATATTGCTGTTTTATTCAATTCGATGACCATTTTTTGTGATCTATGGGATCAAAGGATTTCGTCGCGCTTGTCCGCCGACCTTCATGTCTGTATTCAGTTAAAGGCTATACCGTTACAGATGCGCGAGCTTTGTGTCCATATATTCTGGCATGTCTTTTTGTTTACAAAGATGAGAATCATTTTGTTAGATAGTTAGTCATATGGGGTCTTTGAAGCCTGTCCGCTGGTTTTCATGTCGGTTTCCAGTTACGGTTTGCCGTTACCCTTGTGCCCATATATTTGAGCAATACTCTCTTGTTTAAACAGTTGGGACTCTTTCATTTAGATAGCGATGCTTTGAAAAATATATACCAGGACAAATCAAAACGATGTGTTTCACGATCATATACATATATAACTGCCCTACTTGCACAAAAAACACATAAAATTCTCAATTTCTTCTACGCAAAATGAAGAGAAAAAATTTCGTTAACACTAAAACATTTGAACTTCTGTTTGTGTAAGATTATACCCACGAGTTTCAGCAATCTAGCACGCTTAACACAAAAGTTGTGTCCTCTAAAATATGTTTTAAATGACCTGGATTCTGTTCTCGATAAATTTTATGTCAACAAAATACAAAATACAAATCACGAATTAAAGATTTTAAAATAGAAGAAGAGGTGTGTCAGTTCTTGAAAATCACCAATATTGATAATTTTATGTTTTTGTCAACTAACTTATCCTCATCTTCAAAACTATGCGATTTGGACTATATAGTTCACCAATCTTAGATTGCTGTATATAGAAATGGTGAATTTTTATCACTAGTACACAGTGGTACACAGTAATTGAAAGTCGTTCGTAAATTTTGCAATTTCATTTCCTAGTCCAGGCGTCGCAAACATTTTTCACGTTTGGTTCTCAAATTCACCCATCATGTTTCTTGGCTAGCCGTTAGTATTTATAGCAATTACATATTATATAAACTGATTATTGTAGAAATACTGTTTGTTTTCACGAAACCGCATTAAATTCAAGATATGGGCAGATAAGATTTATCGCGGTCTCATGCTCAAATACATGTAAGTTCGTGTGAAATATATATATATTAATACCGTAAATATGATGACGTTTAGAATCGTTGACGCCCAAAACAAGCCCAAACCAAGTTTTCGACGGTACGTTATTCTCGGCCAGCACCAGCCCAATGTGTATCGTGACCCGCACGCGCGCATGTGTGATTAATTGCATCATTAGTCAGGAATGGCAGATGCGAAATCCGGTTTTATTCTGCATAATTTACTGATTGTGCGGGTAATAAACAAAACAAATGCTTCACTTGAGTCCGGGTCTGAATATCTTATTTGCAGTCTTACTAAGAACATAGATAAAACATGATTACATGGATGAGATTTATTGATTTAGTGGGTTTTGCATTCAAAGATTGAAGTGATATATTGGAACCAATTACTTTTTATTCCATGCACTCGTTATTGCAGCGATAAGGTTAGGTCTTGGTGATTATTTAAAACATTATTGGCGTTTTCAACAAGATTTCCATTGTACACAGCTACTCATTAGAAACCAAAGAGAAATAAACTCATTGTACATAGTCTCGAACAATCACCGAAATATCAAAACACAATGAATCCATACGGACTCATGGCGGTGTGTAACGCGCTCTACTAAATACCGGTTTGAAGAGAGACTAGTCAATATAAACATGAAAACGGCTAAGTAGTCGCAAGGACTGCCTGAAAGAAGTTCCTAAAACAATTGGGCACAAAAAATCCTTTCGTCTGACGTTGAATGGCTGACTTCTGGATCAGAAAGGTTTCAAGAGAACAGAATCCGATATAATATTTGTGAAATAAACACGAGACAACACTTTGTCGGTAGAGCAGGTTTAGCAGCCCAGTCCCCAATTCTATAAAATTTTTCAATTCATTCTATCATATTTATAAACTACCAAGGTCAAAATTTGTCAGGATGCTGAAAGGAACAGGATCACAGCACCATCCAACTAGGTATATCCTATGAAGATAGCACAATACAACTAAGGTTCGATAGGAGTAAATCTGGAAAAACCTAACCCTGAAACCATTAAAACTGAAAAATGTCTGAATTAGGCCGCGAACCGAGGCCATTTATCTTTCAGTTTCGTAGCGCACATAAGGTAACTAAAATGATTGTTTTATTTGTTTGTTAGCACAATTGCCATATGTCGCACGTTATTGTGTTTAACACGCCATCCCCGACACATTGATTTGCATTTGCATATATTCGAGAATATGATTTCTTGAGAAACAATATATTTTCTTTCTGTTATTTAGTAAAAGAAGTGACTTAGAATGATTCTTCGAAACCAAGTAGGCAAATGTGAGTGGGTTAGCTTCCTTCTATTGTGTTGCTTGTTTCAATAAATTACCTATGAAATGTGTCCAAAACAAAAATATAGAGACTCCCAATACTATTTTTTTTACTGTATTTACTTTTTCTACTAAATTGGTTTTTGTGCTTTTGGCGGTGCAAAATACACATCTGAAGTTTTTTAAAGCTCATTTGAGTTTACTATGACTAAGCGAAACAAATACTCCTTTTTATAGAATCTTAAACAAATTTAATAATTTCCAATGAATCTTTTACGATTTAAAAATTTTAGAATATTAAAATTCAATAATTTTGACAGACCTCTAATAATTAAATTTTTTTCAAATTTCCTCTGAGCCCTGAAAATATTGCTGTTTTATTCAATTCGATGACCATTTTTTGTGATCTATGGGATCAAAGGATTTCGTCGCGCTTGTCCGCCGACCTTCATGTCTGTATTCAGTTAAAGGCTATACCGTTACAGATGCGCGAGCTTTGTGTCCATATATTCTGGCATGTCTTTTTGTTTACAAAGATGAGAATCATTTTGTTAGATAGTTAGTCATATGGGGTATTTGAAGCCTGTCCGCTGGTTTTCATGTCGGTTTCCAGTTACGGTTTGCCGTTACCCTTGTGCCCGTATATTTGAGCAATACTCTCTTGTTTAAACAGTTGGGACTCTTTCATTTAGATAGCGATGCTTTGAAAAATATATACCAGGACAAATCAAAACGATGTGTTTCACGATCATATACATATATAACTGCCCTACTTGCACAAAAAACACATAAAATTCTCAATTTCTTCTACGCAAAATGAAGAGAAAAAATTTCGTTAACACTAAAACATTTGAACTTCTGTTTGTGTAAGATTATACCCACGAGTTTCAGCATTCTAGCACGCTTAACACAAAAGTTGTGTCCTCCAAAATATGTTTTAAATGACCTGGATTCTGTTTTCGATAAATTTTATGTCAACAAAATACAAAAGTCAAATCACGAATTAAAGATTTTAAAATAGAAGAAGAGGTGTGTCAGTTCTTGAAAATCACCAATATTGATAATTTTATGTTTTTGTCAACTAACTTATCCTCATCTTCAAAACTATGCGATTTGGACTATATAGTTCACCAATCTTAGATTGCTGTATATAGGAATGGTGAATTTTAATCACTAGTACACAGTGGTATACAGTAATTGAAAGTCGTTCGTAAATTTTGCAATTTCATTTCCTAGTCCAGGCGTCGCAAACATTTTTCACGTTTGGTTCAAAAATTTACCCATCATGTTTCTCGGCTAGCCGTTAGTATTTATAGCAATTACATAATATACAAACTGATTATTATGGAAATACTGTTTGTTTTCACGAAACCGCATTAAATTCAAGATATGGGCAGATAAGATTTATCGCGGTCTCATGCTCAAATACATGTAAGTTCGTGTGAAATATATATATATATTGATACCGTAAATATAATGACGTTTAGAATCGTTGACGCCCAAAACAAGTTTTCGAACGGTACGTTATTCTCGGCCAGCACCAGCTCAATGTGTATCGTGAGTCGTGACCCGCACGCGCGCATGTGTGATTAATTGTATCATTAGTCAAGAATGGCAGATGCGAAATCCGGTTTTATTCTGCATAATTTACTGATTGTGCGAGTAATAAACAAAACAAATGCTTCACTTGAGTCCGGGTCTGAATATCTTATTTGCAGTCTTACTAAGAACATAGATAAAACATGATTACATGGATGAGATTTATTGATTTAGTGGGTTTTGCATTCAAAGATTGAAGTGATATATTGGAACCAATAGTTACTTTTCATTCCATGCACTCGTTATTGCAGCGATAAGGTTAGGTCTTGGTGATTATTTAAAACATTATTGGCGTTTTCAACAAGATTTCCATTGTTCACGGCTACTCATTAGAAACCAAAGAGAAATAAACTCATTGTACATAGTCTCGAACAATCACCGAAATATCAAAACCCACTGAATCCATACGGACTCATGACGGTGTGTAACGCGCTATACTAAATACCGGTTTGAAGAGAGACTAGTCAATATAAACATGGAAACGGCTAAGTAGTCGCAAGGACTACCTGAATGAAGTTCTTAAAACAATTGGGCACAAAAAAATCCCTTTCGTCCCCGACGTTGAATGGCTGACTTCTTGATCAGAAGGTTTCAAGATAACAGAATCCGTTATAATATTTGTGAAATAAACACGAGACAACACTTCGTCGGTAGAGCAGGTTTAGCAGCCCGGTCCCCAATTCTATAAAAAATTTCAATTCATTCTATCATATTTATAAACTACCAAGGTCAAAATTTGTCAGGATGCTGAATAGAACAGGATCACAGCACCATCCTAACTAGGTACATCCTATGAAGATAGCACAATACGGCTAAGGTTCGATAAGAGTAAATCTGAAAAAACCTAACTCTGAAACCATTAAAACTGAAATATGCCTGAATCCAATGATAAAATTACCCTGCATTTTAACCGACTCATGTTTAATAATCACTATCAATCAGCCACTGGGTCCCATTACCGTAAACTGCCAGGCACAATTTAGCACCACCCAAGATACAGTGATGATGTTAATTAATTCTACCATATTCAGTCAAAATTACATTTTAGTCAGAATAAAAAAAAGAAACATTAGATGTTTAAATAACACATTATTATCAAAAATTTGATAATAATCATTATATCATAAGTTAATTCAATAAAAAGTCAAGCTTAAAATTTTCAAATACTTTTTTCAATCAGATGAGAGAATTATAGAGTTTAAATTAACATGTGATTATATTTCAATGTCTAAAACATAAATTCGTGTAAACATCTTTAGATATTCAAATTAGATACTCATTGACTCCTTTGTACTTCTTTTTTTGAAATCAAAAACGATTGAATTTAATGAACTTGAATTTAATAAACGTTTGAATTTAATAATTGAATTCAAACAACGTTTTAGTTTGTTTTTTAGTTTGAAACTGATTAATTTTGGATATTTCTGGTTTACTTATTTACCTCTGTCTTTTTTTAAATTTAGAACAGAAAGGAAATGATTTTTATCAAATAAATACGAAAGAAATTTTTTACTCTTATTGCTATTAAAGTGATAGAAAAAAAAAATTACAATGAACTTGTTAGGAAGGAAACAAAAATCGCTTTTCATGACATTCCAGACTTCAAAACACCTGGTGTTATAAATTGATCAATCAGATTTAAGAACATTTTCAACATTTGTCATGTCCAGTGAGACATTTTTGAGCAGAAATACGAAACCATTTTAAAAGAATAAAAATTGTGTTGCACACGTGAATAAAAAGTAACTATGTCAGCAAACTTCTTGATTGGTCAAAAACCAAAATAAAAATGCAATTTATTTTGCAACAATAGTTCAATGTGAACCGATATATAGTTGAGCTGGTTAGACGCGAACTAGTCTCGAACATAGAATGGTCGCGAACTAAAATACACTCAATACATTGCCAAATGGATATCAATTTGTGCGTTCCACACCGTGGATAGATCTCTCAATCGATTTATTAGAAATTTTTTCTTTTCATTTTAAACTCAAGCCGAACTCGAATTATCACCCAACTTTTGATAATATTTCTACGTGTGTTATTCTGGAGGATTCATCGGCTCGAGTTCTGTCATGTTTCGAAGATCTTCTTGAGCGTCTTTCTTCTTTTGTGCGTATCTGCTCTCGAAAAATCCAGCCTGTAGAGAATAAATTGAAATTTAAAATTTCGTTGCTTACAATATCACATAACTTCTAGTTTTGTAATTTGTATAAAAGACTTTCATGTTAATCGTATAACTATGGTGAATAGTTGTTGGCACAAATCAGCCATGTGCCACGGAAGGTCATATTTCTCACACCCACTAACAACAGGTCCCGTGATTTCACAAAATATAGGCATATCACTACATAAGCTGCATTAACATGTCACGCTTTACAATTTACATAAATATAATGCATAACTGTCAAAGCGCCAAATCAAACGCTAGTTGTCAACTGCGGTCTTCCAACTCCCAATACCAAAAATAGGAACGGGTTCGCTGATAACCCGATATTTTAAGCACAGGCTCGCAAATTCCTGAATCCAACCACTGGTCGAATGTATTTTACTTTGAACTATGCATAATGAACATTTATTTTACTCTACGCAAACGTAATGCGTTAAACCTTGGTAGAATGTGGCCTCTGATAAAAAATATTGACGATGAAACGCCATGCCACAGAAATGAAATGCCGTGGCCAGTGCAGCATGGGTGACGAATCTGGATGTAGCGTGGTTCTCGTGGTTTGGCGATATAAATATGAATCATACAATCATTCTTTCTATTTAAACTTGAACACTTCCAAAATCATGGGTGTCTAAAGCTCGTTCATGTAACAATGAATGTTTCTCTCGCATTTCTCATAACTCTATTTAGACCCACGTTGCACATCGAAAGACATGTGCCCCGCCTTTTATCAAAGATTCACCTTGTTATGAAACATATAACTCACCCATCTACAAATTAAAAGAATTATCAATAATAATAGAAGTCCGGCCAGGATACTGAGTATGTAAGCCCAGATTGGTATAGAAAAAAATGTCTTGACTTCGGTAACTGTATCTTGCACGCGCGGTGGGTAGATTATTGTCGCAATCTAAAATAAAATGTTTTGTAGTGGTAAAGTAGTAATATTATAAAACAAAACGAGAATCTATAAATTTCTTTATTTATATAGCAGTCGAAATCGCAAAATAAGAACTGCACTGAATTATTTCTAGAAGTGATGGGCGAATCGTTTTTAGCACATGGAGTATATATAGATAATAAGAATAATCTAGATTTTAAATGAAATTTCAATGTCAATATGGATTAAATTTACTTAACATTCTTTTCTCCAAACGATTAATTGATCCTTGGCTACATAATTTCCGGCTTATCGAGGAAATTTTATGTTGAAAGTTTTTTCTCCAAGTCTCCTCGTTGTGGAATTCGTTTCCTATTCCTCTTTCCTGATATTACTAACTCGTACCAATACTATCTCGTATTAATCGCTAACTACTGGCAACTCTATTGCAGGTAGAAGCTCGCATATACAAGAAAAAGTATAAGTTTAAGTGCGATGGCTCGGGTTTTTCTATGAGATCTTTTTCAGTTTTAGAGAAGGACACTAGAGCTGATTTGAACAGATTTTTGTGTAATAAACACTGACTTATACGCGTCAGAAGGTAAAGTAAGATAAAACTTACAGAACGTTCATATATTTGTTCTTTTGAAAACTTAAACCGGCTTTTGTGATCCATTGTTATGCTGAGTACTGTTGTTAATGAAAGTTGGTTCTGGCAATGAAAACAATAAAAAAATAAACAAGGCTGTGCGACATTAAAGATACATATCGGATCAGCTTATCAAAAAAAAATTAAACTCACTTTCAAGTTTTTGAATTGTTTTAAATCAACAACTCCATCCATCGTCAGATATACTAATTTATTTGCCGGAATGTTGCCAATATGAATATCTATAGTTGGACATATTACCGCTGAACTTGATTTGCATGACTGAAACATTAAGATATTTTTTGTAAGGTATTATTTAGCAATAAGATGCACACACGAACCCATTGTCGTTACTCCACTCTTTGCTATAGGGGGACACAGTTAGATGTATAAATAGTGTTGTCCCTAATGGGCATGTACACTGCATATAGATGAAATAAAATAAAGACAATTTTTGTAACTTGAGATAGATTTCTGTGTATGTCTTCCGGGCACAGTTCTACGATAGAATTTCAAGTATGAAAATATATCAAGCAATGATAGGATGACGAAAAGATGACGTAATCTAAAAAAGAGTCACAGAGTTCTGTGCGTTAAACACCTGGTGACCGACATAGGAGTAGGTATCTGGTTTAATGCTCCTAATGCATATACATCAATATGTGAGTGGAAGGTTAACGGTTAAGAATAACAAGCGCTATAGAATCTGAGTTTGGCCATATTTTGGTGTCTGTTACGACGTAGTCGTATTTTAAGAGTAGGAATCGGAGTCTAACGTTCACAAATTCGGTTTCGAAAAATCAAAACGCTAGTAAAAACCATAGTTTTAAAGCGAGTTTAAAAATCCAATCCCTAACTTCCAAGCACCCGTGATTGGTATGCACACACACTGATGTTTAGTGCAAATTGTCATTTATCCATGTCATTGAATACAGGTTTTGAACACTGAAGGTAATGTAATACATACGTTATTTTGCGGGTTATTGCAAATTCCTGAATCGTTTCTTAGTAATAAAATATTACTTGTTGTCTGTGTCACGCACTGGACTTGTTTCTGTCAATAAAATAGATTTGTTATAACATGATTAGTATTATTAACCTAGTTTGAGCAGTTTCGGAAATATGGTTTTAGTATTTCACTATAACTTTACTTTACTTTAACACAGCTGGTACAGATGTTTTCTGATCAAATAATAGAATTAAACTAAAACGCTACTTACTTTGTCTTCACAAATTTTGTGATTGAGATATTTTGTAAAATATGGAAATCCATCCTGCGTTGCACAAGTTTCCCACTCAATCAATATCCTGACATTATGAAATGCAAATGCACCTGTATTCACAATCTAAAAAGTAGGAAAGTTGGTTTTTAATTCTAAATTAAATCTCTATCAATTTAATTGTCTTCAGTTATTTTTTTTCCTGACATAAAAATTAATTAACTCGTACTAAATAATATTACAAAGTCATAAATTGAAAACTAAATCAGTGGAACCGAGGAGAAGTAGGGTTTGTTTTGATAGAATTGCTGTTGTTGTCATAGCTGTGTTGTTGTCATAGCTTAAAATAACCTTAAAATTATTACCAAATAGAGATAGAAGTGTTCTCTTGACGGTTATTCAATATCCAACCGTCATATTTTAATTTAAATAAACAGAGCGCTAACAGCAAGTTGATATAGTCGGCACAAGATTGTCGAAGAAGGATAGGTCTCAAATTCGAGTTATTGATGTGTTAGTAGGGGCTGCGTGCGTTCCAAAAGTATTTTTTTTTCACTTGCGACTTTGTAAAACTGAGTTTGATGCTTTCGTGTGTTTGCATAATATTATTTGGATTCTTTGTTTCGTCATAACCTGAACAAAACAAAGCTTGGTGTCGATAACCCGTACTATTCCATGAGTTAGAAGTCTACCATACCACTAAACTACAACGTAACTGAATAGTATTTTATTGATCCATTCCATTATTGGCTAGTAATAATAGAATATTTTACTCGACGAAAATGATGCTAACGGGTGCCAATGATTAATAAAAATTATTATTATGCAAATATTCAAATGAGGCTGGTTTAATCAATAATAGTTAATCTTAGCATCTGGAGATTTTAGATCATGGAAGAAATGAATATTTGAAAGATTATACGTACCGAATATACATGTTGAAAATTGGAAAAAATTCCATTTGACGAATTTGTAGAATTATAGATGAAACCTGATATTGATGGTGGATAACTTGCTCTGAAAATTATTAGTTGAGTTATTTGAAGTAAATTCAACACAAGAATGATCATGAAAGCAGTAGAGATATAATACATTCCCCAACAACCAAAAAATGCCAGTTCACTCCCAATATCATTTTATACTTCTAGATTCTGTTTCTTACTTCTACGCAAAGAAATGTTTATGCTAAAGCTAATTGTGACCACTGAAACATAACTATATTCCTATTCATCACATGGATGCTTTCTTCTAAAATAACTTGCCATCTGTCTGGGAATTTATTGTATACTCTGTATTTAAATTTTATCTAAAAAATCTATCAGTCGAGAAGTTACAGTAACAAAATGTTGGATTGAAAAAAAAAATTAAGTTTCGAAAGCCTGTTAATTAATTAAGTTCTTTATTGAAACATTGCTCATTCAATTATCAGTTTATTTTAAATACCCATTAAGATTGAAAGAAGATTTATATTTAATCGGTATTTTCAATTTCTTCACATTGTCATTGTTGTTGATGTCTTTACTAACTGTTGATGCGTTGATGGAAAAACTAATTGATTTTGTTGTTGTTGGTTGCACGCTAGGTGTCGCTAGAAATATGATCATCCCTCTGCAATTTTGGTTCTGTTGGGAAGAGTTGAACGGTTGATAAATAAAATAGTGAAGCAGAAACGCAAAATTATGATGAGACGAATTATGAACATTGAATAAAGATGATGCCGAACAAATTTATGGTATTTTTAAATATTTTTATGAAACTATTTAAAAGGTAAGTTTTTTAAGTAAGGATAGATTTTAATTTAAAATTGGCTTTATATATGCGATTAAGCTTTCGTGTACAGCCTGTTTTTGGAGGCTTGGGAGGAGTGGGAACATCCCAGAAAATTAATACGAGGAAATATATCTCTGAGGCCGGATATTTGCTACATTTGCGAAGAACACGATCTTCAGTGAATATGTTGTATACAGATTTTAGTATCTCAATTTTCTATTCTACATTAAAAAATTCTACAATCTACATTCTGCTTATTTTGGGTATGTATACAGCCTTAGACAACGGCGGTCTCTGTTACGTGCAATAACATGCTGTTGCTTATATTACTTTTGCTCTTTATTTTTATTTGTGGTAGGTTTAAAATATAGAATATATATTTTTGCAACTTACTGAGCTAATGAAAGTCTTCGACAATACAAAAAATAACTTGTTAAATGTTTCATTCATGTTAGATTCTTCCAAGTATTCAAAACATTGGGTCTGCAATAAAAACAAAACAACTTGGGTTATTTGATAAATTGATCATAAATGTTGATCATTATTGCATCACATAATACCACATTACGCTGATCTTTCTAAAACCTCATATTAATGAAACAACTAGGGTTGCTTAAGCTTTTTAAAAAATTTGCAAACTCAACAATTTAACATGGAATTTTGCTATATAATGCTGACAAGACACTTACAAATGACGGAAATGAACCACAGGGTTGGCTCATTGTCAATTTCAAAAGCAATCATTGGTTTGTATGATATTGCCCTGCATTTTGAATATACCATTGACGTAAAGAACTATACATGAACCTCCATACATACCTCCGTTATTGAACTGTATATAAAAGACGATGGATATTCCACTGTAACAATTACTGAGTGTGCATCTTCTGGACCTCTGTTTTCTAATTCCAATTTTAGTTTCAGCAATTTTATTATTGACAATTCGTACTCATTTATTTTTAATCTGTTAACATGAATTGTAGGGATATTAGTTGTATCTTCACGTATTAATTCGTTTTGTTTTTACAAATATCTGGTTACTGGTAACATTGTGGTTTTAGTAGTAATCTACTAAATTCGGTGATATTTTGCGTAAACGTTAGTGAGTTATATTTGAACAAAACATTGTATGCTTCAATGTTTTTGTTGAAGTTCTCCTCCATTTACATGGGCTCTGATCAACTAAAATCCTACTCAATTCTGCGTGGAGAAAGTTTTAGTATCATGTTAACTGTCACCATTTTGTTATGAAAGTTACGCTTAAGAATTTATCATCCAAAGAAGTATTTTAAATTTTTTTTTTCCAGGTTTTAATTCAGGTAAATCACTTCCCTTCATCTTACATCCTATAATAATTCTGCGAGACCTCGAAATTTCAATTTCACATCACTTTTTAATTACACCTCATCATTAGCAAGCTTTCAACATGGAAGATGAATGTTAACGTACATCCCAGTGCAAATATAGTGTAGTGGCCGTGAATGTAATTGTCGTACAACATGTAAAAATATATTCCATGTTTCATCTGTGTACTTATTATTATAATTTACTTACCCGTCTTCATCGACTGGGTCTGACTGTGCTATTGAAATATCTGCAACACATGAGGACGTGTCTTCGCAGTATGTTTTGAAGAACGCTGTAGCTGGTACTGTTTTTATCGCTGAACTGGAATTATTATGAATTTAGTTACCATCGAGATTCTGGAATCTAGATTATATGGTTTTATAGTGAACTGAAAAGTCACACCCAGAGCAAAGGTTTGAATGGATATTGCGGATAGGTGGGTCTAGTGAGTGCAATGGCCCAGTATGGGGTAATCCCAAAGTAAGTGCACCAAGATGGCGCACAACCTGAATATAGTATGGGTACCAGGTTGGGGTTCAGGTTGTGCGTCATCTTGGTGCACATAGTTCCGGAGCACCCAGTCTAGTAGTTGAAGAGTCTGACTATGTTAGTATAGCGTGTTAAAAATCTCGGACTCAAATTTCATGCAAACACTCTCATTTAGAGTGCAATAAATTAAGTCAAATGGATTGAAGTGGAAGGACAACGTATATCACGCCTTTGGAATTAGTCGATTGGTGTGATTATAAAACATACCGGTACACGGACTTCCTGAAGTATGCGCATGGTGCATGAATCTGGTTATGCATCTTGGTGCCCATACTTCAGGAGCACCACATACACTCACATGAAAATTATGTAAATGCTAGGAACTTACAAATCTAAAACCGGCGTTAGTTTGCTTCCATGGTATATATCATCAGTTTCGTTGAATTTGAATTCCTCCATGTCAAATTGCAGTTCAAAAGTTAAGTTTGTCATCATGTCTCCGATATGTTCCTATTAAGTTAAAAACAGTAATTCAATTATTGCACGATAATAACTTAACTATGACTGTGAAAATCAGTAAAAATAGAAGAAGATGAAAAGGTGTATTTCAGAAGAGTACGTGCGTCTAGCATAAAACACGGCCGTTCAGCTAATAATTCATAATAAAAAAAATTGATGATATCGAGTGTGGCAATCTCGTTCCTGTCATAAATATATATATACATATGTTAAAAAACCTGTTTTATTGTTATGTTTGTCTTGTGTAAAATTGTATTATTACGATTGTGCATTCAACATATTTATATATTCGATGTGGAATATACAGGCTTGTCCATGGAAAACGTCCCATAGGACGGGATGGGACAGCACACATTTGTATTTCCCATGGGACACGTGGGACACGAAAATCGTATGATTTTCGGGGAAAATATGATAAAACATTTTGTTATAGATTTTGTGTCCATATATTTGAGCATAGCTGTCTCGTTAGTTATAAAGAGCAAAATATATTCAGCCTTAACAATATACTTCGTGAAGGGGCTGATGGACACGTGTATATATAATAGGTATGGATATGAAGTTAACAAAGTCCGTAAATTTTGTTTTTTTGCATGTCTCTAGGTGCATGTAGTCCTATTTAGTAGACGCTAAACCTAAATTTACAAATTTTTATTGAATTTTATTCCAATGGGAATTCCATGGTATGGGATGGGAATGGGACAGAAAAATATCGTCACGCTAATAACCGTATTGCGTAAGTCATTTTTAGCAGTTTTGAGAAAAACGTAAAAAACTTCCTAATGATATTGTTATGCCATTGAGAGTCAATAATTTGCCTTAGTTCAATTTTTTGATCGTAGCCGGATTCAAGTTAATTTGTATGACGCAGTTAAGTGACGTCATAATGGCGCACTGTGACTTAGGCAGAAATGTGTCTATGACTTGGGGACATACGCAATTTTGCAACTTTACTATATGCACCAGTCCTAAAAACTAAACTTTCCAAAAACGAATGTAATTCTCAGTATCTACAATGTATAATCCCCAAAATAGCTAATCAGTTTCAATTACATTATTTTTTATGTTTAAAAATATATATTTCATCAATATAACACGTTCTGCACACCCACCGAAATAAGACTAAGATTAAATATAAAGAATAAAACAGCAATACACCCATTCTAAAAGCCAACCAAGATGAACTGGACTCGGACAGTGAATATCACAAGTGCACGCCTTCCTATACTGTAGTATAAATTCAAATTAATACGCGCTAAGCTATAATCCGAGATGCAAAAACTCGAAATTGCTTCGCAGAGGTTATTTTGCCCTTGTGGCGTCACAATAGTCCCGCGGTAACAATAATAATAATTCCTTATGACGAAACAATTGCACAAATGTGCATGTCATACTAAATCTCCATTTTTATGGGTTTCGGAATTCTAAAAATAAAATCTGAGTTAACAGACAGGTGCGCAGCATTACATAAATACCTATTTCATAAAAATCTCAAAATCGCCAAAAATGACTTACGCAATTCGGTTATTAGCGTGACGATATGTCCCATGGACAAGCATGTGGATATAGTATAAACTGTTTTCGATATCAACATTTTAAACAATGCAGAAGAAAATAAAGTTCAGTTTATACTTTCCGTATTTAAAAAATAAATACCTTCAAGTACATTGAATGATTCACACAGTTTTTCAAATTAGCCTTCCATAAAGTGATAGAGCCTTGCTTCAGGTTGGGATTGTCTTCTTCTTTTCCATAAAATCCTACTCTAGAGTTAGCCACATTGACATCGGGTGATATAGAATAATGGATTCCTAAAACAAAAAAACGACCTCCATTATCTACGCATTGGCAAAGCACAGAAGCATAACAAACTTTTGATTCTGCCTTTTTTGCTTCCTGCTTTTGTCTTGCGATCAATGTTAAAAATAGGTATTCATTCAGGGCGGGGGCAAAGAGAAGCATAACAGATGGCTCTCAAATGGCGCGAGTCCACAAACAACATACAAACTGTTATTAATAATAAAAACTCCTTAAATACATATAAACATGTATATTGGTCTCAAATGGTTCACGATTTACGTTAGTGTAATTCCGCGGGATAATCTGTTATACGGTATGATGAAAGTTTTCCCATAAATTAAAAAAAAAAGATTTGTTTCGTATTTAAGTCTCGTATGAAACCTGGAACATATTTTTCTACCATTGTCCTAAAGACATCCAAGTTTCACAAAAGTGACATGTATAACAAATAAATAACAAACTTTAAATAATGGAATGGCAGAATGGTATTTAACATTGTTTTAATTGAATAAACGCCGTTCTTACCGATTCCAGGGGGTACTGAAAGTCCGTGAAACGAGAAGCAAACCGTACATGCAATACAGGCAGACTTGCTGTATTCATCAATCGTTGTATTTTGTCTCCAACAGTTATCATTTTTTCTGTCTATCATTGGGGTTGTGATAGCAAATGTTGCATCAATTTTAACAACTGGTCGTGTCTTTAGTATGACGATTTCATCTGAACCAGGACTTCCAACTAATATATCTACAATATTGAAAGAAACATGAATAATTCATATTTAATTGTAATCAATTTGTACATTGATTAAATAAATCAAATAAATATGTTAATAATTCCTATTTGTGGCTATCATTTGTAATAATTTGCATTATAAATATTTGTAGTAATTATTTTCTGTTATTATAATTTGCATTTCTATTACTCCAGTAAAAGCCGTTCGACCTAACCACTTTATCATGACATTTTCTCTTGGATTGAGATCCCGTGCCCCCAACTCAACCAGGAAGCAATTTGGGTAATTCAATTTTATATTAATCGGATATATAAAGTTTCATGTATATTTCAATTAATTAGAAAATGGCACTTAGAAAATTTCAGCTCAACGTGAACCAAAAATGAATTAGAATTTATTTTGAATCATGACATAAAGGGAAGAGTAATTAAAATCGTTCATCATCTCTGGTATTGTGTAATATATGTTATACAGAAATCGACCATACCTAAAACTCCGGTGCGCGTTTTAGTTCTGAATTTATTACTTTCACGCACACGTTTGTAACGAAACTAATAAAAGAGTTTTATGTACAACCATTATAAAGTGTCCAACTAACCCGGGTAGCCATTTTCATCAACGTCAACGCCTCCAGCAACACTTTGACCAAACAAACCGAAACCTGGTTTATTTTTGAAAGAAGATGCACTGATCCTTTGAGTGTATTTACTATCAATACCATACTTTGTCCCACTGAATAAATATACGGCTCCATATCCTTCCTCATACGTTGCAGATATTACAATATCTGAGAAATATCATTGACATTTTTATTTAGGAGCAAACGCAAATTCTCATATTCGAAATTTTTGTGTAAACTTGATATGTTTATGAAAATTTCTAATTGTACCAAATAAAATTTAAGTTATATCCATTCTGCTTTGGATATATATATTTTTAAATATAAATCTAAAGTACAAACTTTTTGAGATTTGGAGACGCGAACCCATGGAATTTGCGAATATAAACAACTGGTTGTCTACTGTTCACGAAACGTAGAATATTGTTTTTAGTTTTGATGCATATGATGCACAGAACAATACAGAATATGACTTTTTTGTACTATCATTCTATCTGTATTACCATTAAATAAGTAAGAAACGCCCCAAATATTGCGATAATTTTAAATTTCGGGACTACCTGGAAACATATCCAATGTAATGTCTCCAACAGAAGTAATAACGATTCCAAATCGTGAGAATGGAAGATTTGATCCTCCAAGTATGTAATCTGGCTTCAAGGACTAAAATGTAGATTAAAAATTAAAACCTTTAAACATACTTCAGCTTCATTCATGTTTTGATATCACGTCATTCAGTTTCATTGAGAAATGACGTAAATCAAAGATATTCGACTCCTCTTGTGTTTTTACAGTAATGGTGTGCTGAATTACTTACTCCTAGTATATTTTGTTAAATTTGTGATCTACTATAATAAATGTTTGAGTTTAAGTTAATTTGAATGAAAAACAAAACAGTAACCCTATCCTAAGTCACCGAATGTAGAAGTTCATCAAATGATACCTTATCAATTTAAAGTTAGACAATAAGCTAATTTTGTGTAAAGAATGCAGCATTCCAAATTATTTAAACAACATATCACCATATTTTTAGCTCCCATGTAAACATAAACCCTGCCTTCGTCAGACGTTTGATCAGTGTATAATGGAGCGCCAACTAGAAGATCGTCGTATCCATCATTATTCAGATCTACAGCACAGAGTGTGGCACCAAAATATTCGCCAAGCTGTTATTAAAGCGTAAACTACGTCAATGGTGGATTTTAAAATACGTATTATATACATGTGAATATATTACGGGAAAACCAGAGTCGATGACACAGATAATGGTAAGGAATGAGTGTCTTTTGGCATGTTACTATTTCCAAATTAGTGATTGGAACTGGTAAACAGTTAAAGATTGATTTTAGATGCATAGATATATATGATCACGAAAGTTGCCTGCAAACGAGAGAATTTTGTAATTCTCTCACACGTGATCATCGCTTCAAAATTTGAATCTGTAAACCCATATAGTTCGATGTTGAACGTATAGAGGAGCCTTGTGTGCGTGTGCAACAAGGACGAAATGAATACAGTTTAGGTGCACAGAAATAATATTATTCGAAAACAAGCAACAAGTGAAATCCTAGCATGAAAACATGATACAAGCGGCGGAGGTACGACTGAATATTCACGATAGGCCTACAAGGCGCAGGAAGGCGATGACAATATCTCAATGCTAGACGGCATAGAATACAAAAGATAAGCTGTAGAGTTGATTTCCAAGTAAGCACGAGATGGACGAACGTATGCTGACAAAATCGCAAGACACCAAAAGGCATATCAGTAGAAAAATATAGACTTATCGTATTCGAAAACGTATACAAAAAATTAAGACGATACGAATGGAATGGGAATTTAAAAATGGGGACCTGTTCTCCTTGTAAAACTTGATCCTTTGTAATATGTCGAGGATGATCAGATTTATATATTACAACAACACCAGTTCTTGCATAGCGAGGTGCGCTTGCTGCAATATACCTTCCTTGTGAAGTACCGTAAAAGTTACCCGATGTTACCGCATATCCTGACAAGAAATATTCAATATCAATCCCATTGAGTAATTTTTAGGTATCAAAATAAATCAAAGATTCACATAACAAAATTTTGGAATTAAGCTAACATTCAGAAAATGTAAATTCATAAAATTGCTTATCAACGACTGAACCAACAATTTATTTAGTTTTCACGAATGAATGACAAGTTATTAAGATTGGCGTAAACAGGTTTCATACCGAAATAGGAGTCATCCATGCTTCCACCTAAAACTTCCTCCAGTTCCTCTCTAGTTGGTATTGAAAATCCGCTAGATGTTTTCAATTTTTCTGATTCTTCTATAGGAATTTTTTTTCAAATTACCAAAAAATATCAAAAGTTGTTTTCTAGTTGTAAAAATTAGTAATATTCTTTTGACATTTTATTATTTAAAGTTAGTCTGTCAGTAGGTCATTTTTAACCATATCAAAAATAGGCTACACTTTGTACGAACAATAAATAGAAAATAAATACAAAATACTTTAAAAACAATATTTTGTATACAATAAGATACAATTGATATTTTTTTGGAAGAGAGATATGAATATATATTTAGATTCTAAAACATGTTACAGTGTTATCTTCACTACCATATTTGAGTAATATTATTAACAAACAATTACAGAAATTAAACCAGCATTCATCTTTAAAACTTTATCTAGGGCCTAGTTTCTAGGCATATTCGACTTTTATTTTACATTACGTAGAAATTACCGAAAGAACTCGTTCTTAATTTTCAATACCTGAATTATTCGTCAAATTTGACGGTATGTTTTTCTTCGACCACATATTTGAAGTTGTTGCATTCTGAAACAGATATAATATCCATTACTCACTATCAGCGATTTGTGGCCAACATAACACATTTTACAATCATTGTCATTTGGTAGATTATGCCTGAATAAGATCTTAACTCAAAATAATCAAGTCTGGACTACTTAGGCATACATGGTTAATTTTTTAGAACCATGCTCGTACAGGGAGGATCTAGTACCTGTTCCATCATTTTTCTTACAAATCATATGGCCATCTGGGCGACGAATTTATGTTGCAATGTACTTACAAGTTGAAGATCTTCTATGTCTTCGCCTTTCAATTCTTCATGTTTGATAACGTTTCCTGCCCTGTTATAACATCCAGGTGATCCCATAACAAGAAAGTCCTGTAAGTGTATATATTCAAATCATTTCATGAAAAGTTCGGCAATATAATTTCGATTGCTATTAAAATATTTAAAACTTTCGACATTTTGTCGCATTTATTATAGGTAATTCTAATAAATTTCTTCAGAAGTGACAAACAGAGTTTGATTTCAACAATTATACCTCAGGATGTTGAAAGCGAGATGGTTCATTTTGTTAAATTAAAGATGAAGCTATTTTTGATTGCGGCAACAAGTCCAATTTATATATATATATATAAACTATAACCAGTAGACTAATGTAGTATTAATTTATTCACTGGCAACAAAACTTCGAAAATTACCTTGTTGCGATGCAATGAAAATCCCATTTGACAATTTTGCATAGAATCTGACCCTTTTGAACCTTAGTTGACAACAAAAATACATAAATTTGCTAACTAGAATTACACAGTTTATTTGTCATGTTTTATACTAAAATGATCGCTTTCTACCGAAGTAATGAAAAAAAAATTAAAGTAATCTAACACCACGTGCTTTTTCGTCGAGGAGTTCACGAAAGACTCATTATAGGAGGATAAAGTGAAATAAACGAATTTTTGTATAAGCAAAATTCATTATACCTTCTAAATTTGAATAAGAAACGCTTTGTCTTAAAGTATCCCGTACTTGCTCCAATTGTGAGAAGTCCTTGACCGGAAAAAAGTTTTGTGAAGTCCCACTGATGCTTATAAGTTCTGAAGCATTGAATTTTGCGACCCCAACTGCTAGAATAGTTGCATTTCCGGAGCGTGTTATGTTGACTTGAGTGCTGAATTTAAGACATGTACAATATATATTAGTTATATTTTCTGTGAAATAGTTTTATTTAATAGTACTGGCACACCAAATATTCTGGTTAACTCAACTGGTGTAAAGAAATAATGCAGCTATTAGTTATACTGGGTGTCCGGTTCCTGGTACTCGTATGTGAACTAATGTATAAAATAATCTTTTTTTCGAACAAGAAACGAACAAACTAACATCAATTGAGATTTGTCTTCGACAGAAGTTTCTCCGTCAGTCAGTAAAATAACCATTTTCTTCGCGTCGGGTCTGGCGGACGGTCCCCATAAAAGTTCGTTCGCAAATTTGAACGCAAGTCCTTGAAAATAACAGAGTATAATTGTTTGAAAACTGAAAATAGGTCCAAATATTAAACTATTCAGGTCACCGTTTGTCTTGTATTGTATAACTTTATAATTGTTTACCTGTATATGTTTTCCCAGCCTCATACGGTAGTTTCCGCAAACCTTCCAGCATTTTCCATCTTTTTTCTGTCCCGCTATTTCCGTATTTTTCAAATCCTAGTTCGAATGTAGCACTCGTATACTCTGTAAAAAATTGTACAGTTTTAGGATAAAAGTCAATCAAGATATTATTACCACTGCCAAATTTTAACACTCGGTACAGTCTATGAGCACCAGGTTCGCTGTAAATATTTGCAGAGAACCAATACCTAATCCGCCGAGAAAGCGGAATATAACAAAATTTGACTCATTTCAAATGAATTAGTCCTGTAGTTCAAGGAAAAGGCTGTTTTCCACAACAGCAACAAGAATACTGACAACAACAACAATGTAATTCATAGGTCCACTTCGGGTATAAAAAGTGAGAATAAGTCTTCTCTACAAAATAATAACAAAAACATATCACCTTCACTGCTGTAGATCACAATACCAATGTCTTGATCATTTGGACCAATGGTAAAACCTCTTACGATATTTCTCAGCCAACGTTTTACTTTTTGGAAATTACATTGATTGACACTGCCAGATTGATCAATAAGAAGGACAATGTCGATTTTACCTCGGATGCATCCTAAATAAAACAATACAAACTGGACGACAAATTTGCTTCATCCTTGTTGCCATTTGAAGATGGTTTGAAAAAAAAATCATGTGCTGTGGGCAATTTATTAGGAATACAGAACGGAGCAAAAAAAGCGTGGTGTTCAAGTTATTATTGAAAAACAGATTTTTACCTATATATAATGTCCGTAAAAAAAAAAAAATTACACTATTTATATTACACAAGGATTGATTTATTCCTGTTTTGTTTATTTCTATTTAGACACCAACGTTGTTGATCTGGTTCATTTTAGAAAACCTTTACATGATTGGAAGCAAACCTAATAACAAAAAAATTATTATTGTTTACCTGTTGATACCCAATTATTGTTTACCTGTTGATCCAGGATTTTTTATAGCTCTAGGTTGCGAAGTATTACTAGTAATCTCGTAACATATTCCAGTAGCTTCTTTTGAATAACCGCAGTTTTGTTGCCAAAGTGAGCCGCACGCCTGGAAAAATATTGAAAATAAAATAATACACGGAAATATCAAGCAAGTTGACTGATTTGCATCAATACTCGTATAATAACAGAGTCTGTGTGTGATATAAATTCAGAAGAACGCCTAATGTTGGATATCAATATTCATTAAAATAAACAACTGAATCTGATGAGTCAACTCGTAAGTTGTATTGATGTAGTCAATTCCACGCAACAACCACAAAACTAGCTCACAGCTGTTTCAATTGTAATTAACTTTTACATCTAGTTATGCTTGTGAATTAGCTTTTAAACTTCCATAAAAGTTATGTTCAGGTTTTTATCAAATTTCTGTCGAAAATGCCTACAAGTAGCAATTTAGGCGTTACTTGATATTGCTCACCGTAAGGGTTTTATTGTTCTCATCGTGAAGTTGTATATTCATACTCATTCCGATAGACTGCTCACCTTCAAGTACATCAACATCAACAGGTTCGTCTGAATTTTTGATTTTGTAACGTAAGTTAGAAAGTTTAGAAAGAAAGTGCGTTCAAGCCGACAATTAAAGCGTTATATGTAGATTTAATCCTAACCAAGTTGGGTAGTGAATACAATTAAGAAACTATTTGAAGTGAAAAATATAAATATACCTTCGCATGCAGAATTTGCCACCGTTATGTCAGATAGAACAATATCAGCTGCGGCTGAGCAAACCTTTGGACATCTCTGTAAGCACATATAGTATTAATACAGAGCAGAAAATAATTTTGTGTTTTACTGCAAATGACAGCCTTTCTAAAATAAATAAATCGGTAATGCTGGATATGATTGTATAGTCTCAGTTTACCGTTAATATCCTTTTCAGTACATGATTCCAATTCACACGAATCGCATTTGCGAAATATATTGCAAAAGTTAACTTAAAAGTGTTGTTATTATTGTATAATGTATATATATAATTCAAAAGTAACAACGTCATAAGTTGATAGAAAATACTCAATCGAATAAAATATCATTAGGATGCTAAATATCAGTTATCAACAAATGCTTGATCTGGTTCAAACAACTATAGACTCTATCGAGTAATGTTGAAAGTTTATTTTTCACCCATCCAATTTTGTTTGTTATGATAATGCAGGAAAATGTACTCACCCTGGGATCTGATTTACAGTTAGGTTTGACCAGTTGGTTTACAACCGAAGCCTTAAAAATAATCTGAAAATATGTGGACGCATTACTAAAATATCAATAAACATTACTTTTTGTAGCAAGTGGAATTTTTATGTTAAATTTGATAACATAGGCTGGATGAAATATTACCAAAAAAGTACATAATGCTAGTAAAAAAAAAACAATGGATTATCATTAATAAATCCAGAACAGAATATAGAATAGCAAGGGCATCATCGTTTTTCAAAATCGAGCGAGATTGGGCATATACGAGTAGGCTTGCACATGACTTTATTAGCAGAGTATTAATGAAACAATCCATAAAAATATGTTAGTGCATATATTATATTTTTTTGTGACAAGTGGAAATAAAATGAAATTCCACATGTTTGTTTTTAGGCAATATGAAACTGCTTTAGGATCAACAAATTAAATCTATATTTGATTACACTATAATTATGGCCTTGTTTATATTGGCCAAGCCGAGATGCAACGGCAACATAGCAAATTGATTCCAAGTCTGTGAAATGGGTAAATAAGGAATTATTCAAAAATACCAATAATGGTTTTAAATCCGTAATATACTCATAAATACCAAAAAATACTGACAGCAAAACTTGAAGTCAAGTAACCATCAGGATGTTTAATTCATTTTCAAATAAGAGCGTTCAAGTAATCTGCGATTTTATTTTTTATATTCTGATCACACACAAGCTAAAATACTACGAGGTGATGACTATTGTAAAGTTAAGGAATTAACAGCTTACTTCGAATGGTTCATCGATTTCATGTCCCATATTTATTTCTGTAAAATTCCAATATTTGCTCGCAATATCTTTTGGTCCTCGGTAGTCAAACAACTTTTTTATTTTTCCTGAGTTTTTATATTTCATCATCACTTGCAACGATCTCGTAGGTTTTTTTGATGCCACGGGTCTGAAAATAAAAATATAATACTGAGTGAGTATATACTAACCGAGTGTATACTGAGAGAGTACACAAGGAATCACAAAATTCCGTTTTTAACAAAGTTGATATTGAAATATAATGTTTGAAATGACTTTTAAAAACAACTTTTTTAAATATTTACCGTGGTTTTCCAGTGTACCAAGTTTCGTTTTGTATTGCTTCGTCGTTATCACTGTATACAATAAAAAAAGCATCTAATGGCGTCAAATATTTCAAATACAAAAGATATTGTGAATAAGAGTTTTGCTATGACTTTTTCACACAACAAAATTCATAATGGTGTCGAGATCGTGTCACTTGGTAATTTTGTATATATAGGAGAATTTGGGAATGGCAACACAACATTCTTTTTTTTCAAACTTTGACTTAATATTTTGGATAATTTGCAAATATAATTGCCGGTATCTTTGGGTCACCCTTGATCATCGTGTAGCATAACGAGGATGATCCAAAGATATCAGCATAATTTTACTTTATCTACATCGCTTCACGTAAAAACTGATTAAATGCTGTGATTTTGAAATCATATCATATCATGTTGACATTTTCACACATTATACCAAAAAATGCTTTCAGATCGGGATTCATAATTGGTGTAATAGTTGATGTCCGCCACAGAGGTATAAATTTGAAAAGCGTGAAAAATCGAGAGTATGATGAGTAAAACGGAAATTTAAAAAAAAAATGGTAATTTGGGTAAAATTTTCACCAAAACTCAACGGAATGTTCTATTGTTTAAATGTAGCGGGAATTGGATTTTAAAGAAAGACTTAAAATATCTCACAAATATGTGTTTGTTTCATATTAAAATATTCGTAGAATATTAATTAAAAATAATCTTAATAATAACTTAAAATAAAATAACTTAACGAAGCTTTTTTCTCACTTCGTCATGTTGCTACTCACTTATAGTCCAGAATTGAAAAGGCGTTGAAACAAAACCGTAAACATTGGGTTATTCCTGCTTTCGCTGCAATTGGTTGAGACTTCAGTTCAGATATTGCTACTTTTCTGCGGCCAGACGCAATTAGGGCATCATCCGAGTTGAATGCTAACATACCCTCTGAAGAAAAATCACGTGAGAAATTGTTCAATTTGCATTATTGATTGTGACATAATAATTACGACTCTATCAAGTATTTGGTAAAATCAGATGCGTTCTTCAGTTATATCCTAAAGCTGGGAGGACGTCGGAATACGTCGAAAAGCCTTCAAAGCAGAGAGACGTCGGAATACTTGAGAGATTTGTAATTTTAAATACAGTGATATCTAGGTAGTCGAAAATAATTCGTTCAGGATTGATGTTTGATAACCGATTTGTTCGCGTATCGAAACTTTTTTGCTATAAGAAACAATGGTAAATATTTTTATTCGTTCTCACGCATTCCAAAATACCAGAAATATTAACAAAACGTTGAAACGTTGAAACAAAAATTACTTATCGATTTTAATCGGTAAGTATGTTGATAGGTATTTGTCTGTCTGTCTGTCTGTCTGTCTGTCTGTCTGTCTGTCTGTCTGTCTGTTTGCCTGTCTGTCTGTTTGTCTGTCTGTTTGTCTGTCTGTTAGATGCACGCGATATCTCACGAAAGCGAGGTTGAATCTGCTCCAAATTGTGCATGTGCATTCATCATCAGCCTATTGACTGATGCCAACATCCTGAGCCTATTGATTTTCGATGAATATATGTCGTATAATTAGCGAGTTATTAATTAGTTAGTGATAGGACACACGGTGTCACTATGGAGTAAGAGCGCTGTTTTGGGGATCCCCTAACCTTCGATCGATAAGTCTTCGGTCTCCGACCGATATTCTCGTTTAATGTTTACATAATAAAGATTAACCACAGTAAAGTAAAAAAATAAAAAAATTGTATTATACACTGTGCGTTTGAGCGAATTTTGTGGGCTCTGTAAGATTCGTTTTTTTTGTGCACGTTGACGTCAAGTTGTGGCCGTTTCGCTTTCGCGTTTGTCGTGAAGATTGCCGTACCGGTCGTCTACTGTGACATATTGCATACCCGCACTACTCCGCATAGCTTTCGTGTCCATATATTTGAGCACCGCTCTCTTGTTGAATGGACAAAAGGCAGCCTGAATGCGCGGTTCGGGGGACGTCATCTTATCCGGCGCGCTGGAATGTTCGATCACCGCAGCGTTTACAACTAAAATTTTTGAACTACCGAATTGTTCGAGTATCGAGTCGTTTGACTACCAAAGTTATCAATGTGCAGGAAAACAAACAGATGACTATTGACTGCATCATTGTTGCGCCACAATCCCCGTTTACAATATGAAAATGGATCGTGTGTATAGGAAGCCATCGCCACTGTGTGATTTGGGGGAAAACACCAGATCCTAACTACTGCAGATTGCGCTTGCCACGTTAGCGGTGACGGGGGTTTTCTATAGAAGATCCTATATGAAATTAGCACCAAATAATTTAATTTTAACTGAAATCCAGGATGGTGCGGGAAGTATTTATAAAATAGAAAGTTGCTCAACAATGCTACCTGTATTACCAATTAGGCTTTCACAAATCCACATAACCGACTACTGGGTATTGAGTGTGCAAAAATAAGACAAACAAACAAAATCAAAAAATTATGTTCACTCGATAAAAATATTACTCACCGTGGACAGTATAGTCTGGTGGACCAGTTAATCTAACCCCTACATTAATATCTTCATGACAATACTTCTGTTTGTTTGGTATGTTGTACTTCAGATAATTGACGTTTTTCCTTAAATAGGTATGAAAGTGAAAAATTGAACATTTGATTAATAATGAATCTCATATTGCAATCTTCATATTGCAACTACACACATTTGATAATTGCATATAACATGAATATATCATGTTCTGTGCATCAGTGTTGGTTCTTGAACAGCGAATCAGGTCGAGACACTGTGTTTAGGATTGGGTAGGGCAGTGCTTGTCAATCTATTTGAAAGTGGTACACCTTTTTATCCCAATTCAAAATCTGGTACACCCCACCCATTCCACATTTTTAATCGGCCAGAAACACAATGTTTAGAAGATATACGTGCCTATACCGCAACAACAGTTCTTTTCGAAGCGATAAATCGAAATAACCAACCTTCTGTACTGTTTTCTTAGTAACCATAAATTCGGTGTATCGCTTGAATATCCACATGTCGAAACATTGAATGCGCATTTTTCGAGAGCATATTCAGGTAGGAGAGGATCACTTGTAATGTCATCTATATTGGAAATAAACGTACATAAAGATTAGTTAGTATCACCAGGTGTATGATTAGGTAACCGTCTTATTGTTAAGTCGAATTTGAGATCTGAGGAATTGGCATTTAATTTATACAATTTGCAGAAGTTAGTGTTATTACAGGGTGCAGCCAAAAAATAAAAACAATAACAAATAAATAAATAAATAAAACAGGCCCAATACATTCGCTAATTACTGCTACTGAAGAATGTAATAAATTTTGTTTTTAATTCAACTTCTGTTTATGTATGATAGTTTCAATAGTCTCCAACACGCTGGAGGTCATTTTAGAACTTATACTAGAGAAAATGAACTTTTGTACGAAGTGTCCTAGATATCTGGAACTTTTGGTACGATCACAATTATTTTTTTTTCTATTTTTATAGAAGTAATTAAGAAATTCATGAATTCTGTCTATATTGAATCCTCATAATAGGATAGCAAACAGGCAATGTATAGTTAAAAAGATTATATTAGTCTATTTATTATCTGTTATTTGTCAGATGTTCCAATATTTTAAATTAATAATGGTCCAATTCCTAAGATATTACAGTTCTAAAAAATGTGATTGCTTCAGAAGAGCCGGCTGTAATTTGCCTCACTTTTTAGGACATGAGCCCGAGCTGGGCGCAAAGATCAAAGTGTGAAATAAAGATTCAAAGACTGAAGTAATTTATTAAAGTCGATAGTCTTAACCTTCAATAACGGCTAAAATTGTTTATTTGAACGTTTATTTTATGTTTTATCAACTTTATCTCAGCCACAAACTTCTGACCAATATACGACTAATCTCATCTATATCAACCTTGTTTGCTAGATTGGTTTTTCGATTCAATATTTTCCTGGTTGAAATCTAGTTTTTCGCAGTTTTGCTGCAGGCTGCCATTGAATGACTTAGATAAACTACAACTGAAGATGGCTCCTGCTTTTGCAGACGAGTTGGTGATTTCATCTTCTTCATATTTTGGCGATCCGCTCCAAATTCTGCAAGTAATAAATAAACATAGTGACAAATACATTCCCTCCAATGCAAATGCTGATATATTTGAAATTTATTGAAGAAATGCCCATAAAGCTTGAGCTTCGAGGGTGGAGTAAAATTTTATGTTTGTCATATTAGTGCGAATTGTGCAAATCTTAAATGTAAGACTTCAGGTTCGTTTTTCAGTAAAATTTCTATGCCAAAAATTTATTTTCAAGAAACTTTATCTTTGTGCAATTCCAGGCTTGTCCATGGGACATATTTGACTGTCCCATTCCCATCCCATAGCAATTATACCTGTCCCATCCCATCCCGTGGGTAGTTGTCATCCCAGCATGGACAAGCCTGTGGAATTCCCTTTCATCAATATCCTTTTATTGATAATGTTAAATTGAATTGTATTCTGCAAACTGTATATACTAAATATCTTTTGATACGCTAGTGGTCGCTTTCCAATTTCCCATCAATACTTTTTATATTTCTAGTTGAGAGCTCATGGTCGCACTTTAGGGAAACTTATAAACAAAGCAGAGGTCATACCAAAGCAAATGCGCTAATTATTGTACAGTTAGAATCATGAATTCAATTAATGTGATGTTATAATATGATGCTCTGTTTATTAGAAGTTCAGTATAAGACTACATTTATATACCAGATATTATACATAGACTCCAATTATATCCGTTTTTGGCATGAAATTATTCTGGTAATTTACATTTCATATTTGCAGACAAGTGGCATCTCATTTGTATTCCATCACAATTCCACTGTGGTAAGCAATCATGACACCCTCTCAGCGTCATGGCGATCACGTGGAACATCGTTGAGCATGTCATAACAACGGAAGGGGTGGGCCGGTGCTCGTAGCGTATTATCAATCTAGTTATATTCTGACTCATGAAATATAAAAATCAAACGTTTATTTTAAACCAAACCGCAAAACTTTTCAAAACTAATACTCGGGAATAAATCCGCATATCGGCACCACGCTCCGGCCAATGTCAAATTAGTAAACCGTTTGTAACAATGACACCTTTTGAAAAAGGATTAGCAAATTTACAATAACATATCCTTCCAAACGCTCGTGAAAAGTTAAAAGCTATTGTATTTACCTATATGTTGTATAAAACTTTGATAATTAGTTGTGGAATTCGTAGATACGTTGTTTTCCACGACTTACGCACCGCGCGTTTTTCACACTTACTTATCAATTTCTAGTTTCTAGCCGAGCCAATTGCGCGTCAAACTTGGTATATACACTGTGAAATGCGATACAAAGTATCAGATTTTGATACTGTTTCCTGATGGTGCCTGTGTTGATATTTTGCAATGCAAACGACTGTGCCACTATGTCTTTGAAGCTACCAGCTTTTTAGAATAGCGTTACGGATATACTTACGTCACGTTCCCATTCACACGGGCTGCTGCTATTGAATATCCAAAATATGAATTTTTCTTAGGACTTCCCAGTACTTCGTAGGATGTTGTGTCAACATTATACGGTTTGCCGGGTGATATATTGAAGAAAACGATTATAGTGAATAAGATACATCCATTTAACAATTCCCAAGCCAACATCACATTTTATATTAGATTCCTATGTTTTAAGAATACCTGTTAAATAAATGCTTGTAAACATTGAATTTTGCTCTGACGATTTATTTTTCAAATACCCCGAAGAAGTTTCGCCAATTGTACTCAACTATTACCAAATTATTTAGTATGCACACAATTACAGATTTCATTCGTGTGCCGTTGAGTCAGATTTTGATGGTATCACGCAAACACAAAGGGTTTCTCCGGGTATCCGTTCAACAATTATTATCATTTAACTGTTCGAATCTGAACCCAACTTGGACCCACGAATGCAATTCCGAACCGGCTTTTAAAATAGGCTTTTAGAAATCTTAAATTAAGTCCAATACTCAAAAAATTCAATAATTTATTATTGTTATCTTTGCTACCTTAGTGAGGTGATGTATTCTTACACAATTTTAAAATTAAATTGTTAAGCCCAGCTCTGTTCAAATTCAGTCGGATCCCTAACCAATCAGACAGACTCAAACCAGTGCACTATATGCAATAAGGTGGTAGGTACAAATTATGCAGGCCTTTAATGAACATCAGAAGAAACATGTGGCAGCTATTTTCATAAATTGCGCTATAATATTGCACCACAACTATCGTACCTGCAGCCAAATCACTCATTTTGTCGTGCAATAACATTACACCTTTTGTTTGACCATCTTAAATTTAGAGTCTAGGAATATATATATATATACTAAGACAGACGGGTTCATTTGGTATTATTTGCATAAGCATCATTTTTTTCTACTTTGCACTGTTCCTTGTTTAAACTTCCCTGTGGATGACGATTTGCGTAAAAGTCAGTTTGAATTTATATAGTAGACTTATTATTATATCCATCCCTAAACCATGACCGATTTTCATCCAAGAACATAAAAGCTGATTATGATACATATTTGAAACAAATATTTTCAATTTATTCCACACATGTTACTTATGCCATGCTTTCTCAACTCACTCGCAAGACTGGTTTCATGATGCAAATATGATGACGACCTCACACAATTGGCAGGAAATGACTACGAAACGTGAGAGGCGTTCGCCTGAGCTCGACATTTGATAAATTACAACGAGGGCTTCTGGCATTAAATTTGAACACTTTGTGCTCTGTTAATCAATGTAGCGGATATGAATCGGATTTCATATTATAAAGAATGTTGAACTAGGAATATGGAAGAGTTCTTTTCTGTTTGGCTGCATAATCACTCAGTATTTCATTTCTTCTGCTTGCTGAGTTACAGTGTATACCTTGCGATTTTACTCTATTTTTATATATCAATCGGAGGTGTATTCCACTCTAAGCGTTAGTCAAAGTCGTTATTACCCTAAAGTTAGTCATTTAACTGTGACTAACATCACAATGCAAGCATATTTTGTTTACCATACCAGATTTTATATTCTAAAGAGCATAGATGTCGGAAGTTGATTGAGATTTACTCACCTTTTAAGCACATGCGGGATTCGCTTTTCCTGATAATTTCTCACGACCGAGCTGAAGATCATTTTGCTTTTTTTACGAATACGAATGTGTAACAAAACCATTTGTCACATCCTTAAAAAAAAATATTCAGCGTACAGTCAACCTAACAAAACAACTTGACATACGCTTGGAAAATTTGTTTTGACAGCGTTCCATACTACGACTACCAACCAACACCTTATTAAAATTTTATTTAAAGTAGTGTTAAAATTTGTTAAAATTTAAGTCATTTTATCCCATCCATTATTTTCTCATAAAATTAAACTCGTAAATATGTCGAATATGAAACGTTTCACGGTGGTATCTTCTTCAACACAAAAGTCCAAGGACAAATCGTGTCGTTGAAGATACTGGGTTGAGGTTAATACTAGAAGCGATATTTAGTTGCAACGTAGGAGTCGAGTACTTGCCCTAAAACATTTTTTCTAGAGTAATTTGTTGATAATAATGATCTTTCAAATACAGGACCTTTCTGATTAGGTTGTTACTTATCGATTTTAATCGGTAAGTATGTTGATAGGTATTTTTCTGTCTGTCTGTGTGTATGTCTGTTAGATGCACGCGATATCTCACGAAAGCTAGATTGAATCTGCTCCAGATTTTGCATATGCATTCATTTTATCTCGAACCAGAAGTCTATTGATTTTGGGCAAATTATATCGTATTATTAGCGAGTTATTAATTAATTAGTGATGGGACACAAGGTGTCACTATGGAGTGAAGGCGCAGTTTTGGGGGATCCCCTAACTTTCGATCGATAGGTCCTCGGTCTCTGACCGATATTCTCGTTATCATATAAAAAGCTATTTTTTTTTAGCAAAGTAACATCTCATCGCCAAGTAAGCTCAAAACTTCTTTTGGCTCAATTCAAGATGAATTTTCGTTTTCCTTAAAATGTCAGCTGTATTTACACCGCTCTTATAATCAGTGTAGACTGAAATCTTTCAAATCCACCCCATGCTAGAAAGGGCTGGTCATTTCCGAATATCTGTTGATTTCAAAATCGAATTAATGATTTTTTTTCGAATTAGATCGAATCTCGAATACTTTTCAAGAAGATATTCTATTTTATGTGATCTTCCCTTTTTATTATGATGAGTCTTCCAGGCATATTAATTACTGAAAGCATAGAATCCATCACTCTGTCAGTCATGTTTCATCAAACACTCACTAGAAAGAAAATAACTGCATTGTAAAAATATGACATCAATAAAAAAAATTGAGGAATTTAGCTTGATCTTTTGGCGGCCAAATAAAAATAAAGATGACGGCGATTCGAAATTTTTGTCTGAGCCGATTCGAATAATTTACAATTCGATTAGAAATGCCCGTCCCTGATGCTAAGTCATACATGTATTAGTGGGGTAGTAATTTAATATTAAATTTTGGCAATTTGGTGAACAGTATTTTATTACCCATTATTCAGGATTCAAGCACAAAGGACATCTCATATTCTATTGCTATTAATAATTCATGATGCTAACTATCACATAAAAAGTTTTCTTAACAAGCTTAGGTAATAAATGTTCTGATCGCCATATGACAAACCAGTACACTTAAGCTAGTTACAACGTACGCAGCATGAATTTGAACAAAGGTTAACTATATGGAAAATTTACGGCGAAACTCAAAAAGTGTTGCTGACGCCAATAAGATGTTATGTGGCAGTAATTTAGTGTTTTGATTAATTTATTTATTATTGTTTGTTCGATGAAACATGTTACACAACCACTTACTATTAGGCTATTAGATATGAATTCTATATTTTAAGACGAGACGATAGTGTGGCGTGGTAACAAATCGCAATGAGGGTTCGATTGCGAGGTTGTTGTCTATTTCTAGGCGCTAATCTAAAAATACAAGACCGAAGATCTGCTTTTAATACTAAGAATGTTAGCTTACTTAATAATTGCAAAATTAGGTCACAACTGTAAAAATATCATCATTACTGTGCAAAGCAAACGTATTTCAAAAAAGGTTCGGCTTTTATATGAGATGTTATTAGTCAGATAAATTAATGTTCGTTTACTTAACTGAAAATTCACCAGCAAACGTAAAGTGCACCAGAAATATCGACAAATTTACAATTCTTTTGTTCATACATACATTTATTTTATTTGGAGATGTAAATATTTGAACAGTTATAACTTTAGGCATCATGAGCAAAACTTTATGGCTATGTATACTTGCTTTCATAAATCTTGGCAGTGGTTTGAACTTGATGGATCAAGAATGCAAACCGACAGGTACAGATAATTGCAAAGGAGTATTTGCAATTTTTTTCAGTGTTTTTCTATACAATCCTCTCTAAAATTATTATATATATATTTTAATGATGTTTAAGTACCGTTGATCGGAGGATTGATAAACAAGCATAACAAACTAAGTTAAAACAGTGCAGTACTGAACGAAATATTTAAGGGTTTTCTTCATACATTAGTTTAACTTATTAAAATTCTATCATATCTATACTACATATCACTTTTTAGACAATTTTGAAGTTTTTTCGTTTGAAAGTAGAAGACGATTGATAGTTAAAGACAAATTGGCTTTCATGAGCCCAGATGTTTCAGGTAGGTCTGTTATGTGAAACGATATTTGAGACAACAAGCATGTTGCTCCATTATAAGACAAAAGTATACATTTTGAAAATAAAATATCTGGAAAAAAATTTAAACATAAATTGAAGTTCTATTTGACGCAAGAGTCTTGTTGTACACTAACGCAGACGATATAGAAATACGCCTGTGTTAGTGTGCGCCAAGACTTTTGAATTACATAAAATCTACGGCATCCTTGTAATTGGCGGATCCACTTGCGCAAAGGCACAGAGCGTGGGAGGGTAGTTAGTCTCGAGTAACCTCAACTGAGGAAAGTAATAAATAAATTAAATATACTTAAATAAAGCATAATCGAACCATGCTCTCCTATAAATCGAAAATATATTCATCACATTTCATTATCTTCAAAAACATATTATAGGTGGAGAACATTTGCTACTCAATCCATGTATTGAAGATATCACAGCAAACGCAATTTCCTTCAAAATATCGAAAAGCTTTTGGAATGAATCGGATTCGCCAGCAACGAATGAGGAATTCGTCTGCTATTCGACAGTAATTGAACCAAAAATGTTCATCACTCTTCACGTTGTCGCTGTGGACAAAACTACTTATTCGTCAGCCAAGAACAGATCTTGCTGCTTCCGTATGACTGAGAATCAATGGTTTGCAGGAACTTTCACTCTGCAAGCAATGGATATGGACGATGTGTATTTGCACAGGTGAAGTTCCTTCGCTAATTCAGAGAAATTTTCTTAGAACTTTGGTCCCCTAAAAACTAGTTTTATGTTTCATATTGTCAGAATCCCACTGATCACTCAATTGATTATTTTTGCATTCACATCTGAGATTTAATAGTAATGTGTATCCACTGAGTACCCGTGACTTATTCGAGGTGCTTTTCTCAGTTTTTAAGCTGAACTAAAATGTGCAGTTTATTAGTAGATGATAGCACTCTGTACATTATGAAGATATATATTAT